AATGAGAACAAGACAGCAGAGATGTGAAAGCCGGGCTCAGCAGCTGCACTTGGAGCCGAGTGGCAGGAAGGGAACTGGGTCTGATTGCAGCTGTGCTGGGCTTCTGTTACCAATATAGACCTCACTGGACATGATCTATGACTTACCCCAGGCCTTCATGTAAAAGCAAGAGGGGATGCAGATCAGTGTAGCAAAGGGGGGAGGGGGTGTCTGGATGCTAAAAGCTGCTGGGAGGTTGTAGGGGGCAGTATTGGAGTGACGGGGCCAGTGAATCACCAGGACTGTTAGCTCAGTGAAGTCTCCCTGAGGACAGAAAGTTGAAGGGTCCAACGTGTAGCTGGATGGACGCACATGCCAGTGTCCATGGACTTAGCCATGGCCAAGAGAAACCTGATTCAATCCAGTCTGCCTGGCTCCCAGACCACCCTCTGGCCAGTGGCCCCTGGGTGCGGTGCAGCTCCAAGGGAGGTGCAAAAGTGTTCAGAAAATGACACATTTTTACAGCAAGTATAGAAAGGGGACAAGGCTCGATATAAATCTCTCTTTACTTTGGAAAGGCAATGTCCAGCTCTCGAGGGCTTGGAAGCCCCACAAATACAGCAAGCCAGACAGCATCTACAGTAGAAACATGGTAGCAACTTTATAAACCCCAAATCAAGAGAGGGTGGGGAGTCTCTATACAAACAGACCTGCAAATCCCCCCCCGAGAGAAAACAGCTTATCCATGGAGGCCAGCAGGACCCCGGCTTGCTTAGCAGCTCTGCCGCCCGCTCGACTCTCTCAGCTGGCTAGCGGCTCGGTCCCGAGGCATTAACCATCCCGTTCCCAGCAGCACACACCGTCCAGGGCTTGAGACCCAAAGCTGCCAGCATCCTACCACATTGGCTCAACTACATTTAATGCCATATTAAAAATGCAGCTGGAGAGAGGGTGCAAACAGCTGAACGTCTAGTGCCACACCAAACACAAGGGCGGCCTCGTGTCGGATATCACGAAACCACAACCGCCCTCCAAGCTTGGTCAACAGGAGGGGGGAGGCAGATCGGCTTCCTGGGAAGCAGTGTCCGGAGGCTGCCGGGCTGCAGGAAAAGCAGGTCTGTTTGCCGCGCTGCAGCTGGCACCTACTGCAAGACTCAGCAAAATAGAAATCAAGGAAAATGTTTGACTCCCCCCACCCCAAAAGAAACTTCTAGAACAAAAGTTCATGCCCAGGAGGGAGAAACTAAAAAAAAAGGAATGACCAGGCTCAGCGACCTTACAATGGACCAAGATTCCTGCTCCTAGCTAGTTAAAAAAGGAAATAAAAACCAAAGCATGAATTAAAAAGGCAACTTACAAATCTCATTACCAAACTAAAGTGTAAAACGTCAGCATCTGAAGGGTTTTAAAAAAAACAAAACAGAACAGGAATTTGGAGAGGCAGGCGGGGCCTGAGACCTGGAGCTCAGCGTAAGCCTCTAGGGGAGCGCTGCATCCCAGATGCAGCTCTGAAGGCTTTGAGCAGGGTGGGGCCAGGAACCAGGCAGATCTGGAGTCCCACGGCGTAACAAGAACGCTGTACGTGTATCCGAATCGCTGCCCCCTAGATCACCACCTCTGCGCTACCAGAACATCCAGGCTCACATTACGGTGAGCAGAGGGCACCTGCTGGAGTCAGTTACATTCCTCTCTCTGAAGCAGCAGTTTAAGGCAGGGAACATGCATCTCCCGCGGACTTACTGTCCTCTCAGGATTGTTTGTAGGTTCCCAGTTACTGCAATCAGAATACAGCACGACTCCAGCAGGTTCCGCCCCACAGAGAGGCACCGAGCAGCAGCAGCAACAGGGGCCACGGGGGTAAGCTTTGTCCTCCCCCCGCACGGTATGTTTTCAGAGTGCTTGCCTCCGCTCCGGCTGCCTGCGACGCAGACAGGTGCTGGTTCTGGAACGGGGGGGGAGGGAGGGGGGAGGAGGGTAATTGGAAAGGCCCATCCTCCGGCAGGAAGCCTGTGGGGCTTCCCACCCCGCTCAGAGAAGCCAAGTCTTTCTCACACACGTAAAAACCTCAAAATCAAGACTAACGTTAAAAAAAAGTTTGTACAAGATTTACACGCGATGGGGATGATAGTGCTTCAGCAGGGAAGGGGTTAAAATATCCTCTTCCGCTTCAGGTAGGAGTCTGCATAGTGCCCTCCCAGGCCCTGAGAATGCTGTCCGACGTAGCCGCCCTCCGGGCTGGGCTCTGGGGATGGCAGCAGGTGGGAGAAGGCCCGTTTCTGGCCCCCGATCGGAGTCTGGAAAAGACAGTGGGAAGTTGAGCGTCAGGGGACTGGCAAAGCACCCGGGGAGGGGGGAGTG